GCTTGGAATATATCAGATATAGAAACCAATGAAAACAAGTATGACAGCCACCTTACTGTTAGAGCTGCAATAAAATAGTTTAGATTAAATTTTAAACCTGCGAATTGTTGTTTAAGTCCAGACCTAAATTCAACTGGAAACTTGTGACTTTAAAGTAGATGTTCACAAATCTTTTCTTCCACAGTTGTAAAGCATAAAAATGTGTTAAAATGTTATTCTTCAAATTTGAAAAGTTGTAAACATCCCCAATACCTGTAATTGTAATAGCAGCAAATGATCGTTCCATAAAACAATGGCTTAAGGGGAGAAGAATGCAATGATGTCACACCTGAAGTTTATTTACCTTTTTTTTTTTTTTCATTATCGGTTTTAACATAAAAGAATGTGAAAAAGTTCAAAAAGAGTTTTAACCCTTTGTTGGGCAGTTGTGTTGCTCTTTGTATTTCAGCGTCACCACATGGTGAGACAGCCTGCATAGCTGTGGCTTGTTAATGCAAGAGAGGAGAAAAAAAGTAGGAGAGTATTTCAAAGAAACGCAGAGGACAGGGACGATGACTTATGTCAATAATCACATTTTGTTAAAGGGGGTTTGTGGATGTGTCTGTTATTGTGCTGGTGCGGCATGCCAAAGGGTTCAGTGAACAACCTTTGACCTCTCACTGACTCATTAGTTGAAACAGTGAGCAAAAAAAAAAAAGCAGGCTGTGACCTAAACACGGCCTCAGTTGATGTTTTACGATTACCTCCTCCAAAGCTGAATTGTTCCATTGAGGATCTCTTTTGTTCTTTTAACCCTTTTATCTTTTTCAGATGATGATTAACCTGATAAGTCAATTTGTTTGTCTTTTTGAATAAATAATTGTAGGAATGAATCCTAATCGATGCAGCAGCACTGTTCTATATCATATTTCAACCTTTAATCAATGTATTATTTTCTTGGTATATCCTGCCTCTGACAGTTGCATATTACATGCCTGTTTAAGAGATATGTTTCTGTCATGACATTTAAGCTTCAAGTCTATGTAATACAGGAAGCATTCCTAAATTTAAAAGCTGGGTTTGCAGTTTGCACTTGACTGGGTTGGTGGTTTACCAAAGATATCCTCTAGATACATAATACAGCACAGTCTAATAGTGCAAGAATGCCTTTGATTACCTCTGCTGATCATTACAAAGCAGCTGAATTGACCATACAGACATATTCCCTCCAGTCAAGATGTGGGAATGAACCTCATACAAACTCTAAATTAAAAGGATGTCATTTCATAACAACTTTCAGACTGATTAAAAACCAGTTCTGCAATAATAATTTGTAGCCGACACACAGGTTTCAACCTACCAACAGAATATTTGGCGAAGACATTGCTGGCATTCAGGAGCAGCATGGTTTCAGTTTCACATATATAAGGGCCACTGAGCCGCCTCAATCAAAGTTCAGGAGTTCAAGGTTCCCTGTTCCGTTTGGTTTCTCCTACATGAATAAATACTGTGTTAGTGTTATCTATGTGCTTTCCAGCATGACCAGAAGTATTTTGCAAGTCTAGTGAACCATCAAGGAGTTTAATGATGTTGCACTGACTCTAAGCCATTCATACTGCTAGTAATGGTAATGTACCCTCTCACACAATCAATCCAGATAAATTATTTTGTGAGTTTAGAATAATAAAAATTGATCATTTGTCTTTGCTTAGTATCATATTCATTTAAATAGGTACTGTTAGCTTTGAGGCAATGCCAAAGCTGATTATTCAGATATCTACTAAACTCAGAGTTCTCCTCTGTCTGCAGCTTAGAAGAGCTCTAACTATGTTTGGGGGAAAAAGGCTGCGCTTGATAAAAATTAAATGATAGCTTTTCAGGAATTACACAATAAAAACTTTTTAACAGCTGTTTAACTCTTAATATTCTATACTCTCCCTAAACTATAAGATACATTATACATTATAAATAGCAAATGTTTGTTTTTGTTTTGTTTGTTTTTAATCAGTGTCCTGTCTGGCGATATGGCAATAAGAATAATTGTCTTGATGCCAAAAGAAGAGCCCAACAGACTTTGCTTTCACAAGTGGAGCAGTAAAGCTATCGCCATAGTGTTCCACTTGAAAAACAAATGTTTGGTTTTAAGATGCAAACTTCTATTTTCATTCAATTTGTGGCAGAGGGGAGATAAATGAGACCAGCTACCAAAACATCGTAAACTTTTGAGAAGACTTATTTCATTCTTTTGCAATCTTTAAATAAAATCACTCCCAACTCCAAACAAAATTAATAACATTACCAGATGATTATTAAATCAGCCGTGTGTTACATGTCCCAAAAGACACAAATTCATCAAAATCAGTGCACTGTATGTTCTTAAAAATTAGGATTTATTTATGATCCTTTTTATTAGGACATAAGGTTCCTTTTATTTATATAGAATTCAATAATACAATTCATTGGTCTGGGACAGTTCAAGAAGTCCAAAATGCTTATAAACTTCTACAGAGCTCCACCTCAAAGGTATATAATATAAAAAACAGTACATCACTGATTAGACCTTTTTTTTGTACAGTAGGCAACATTTGTATCCAGTTTATCGTACTTTCTGCTCTTGTACAAGCAGTGGAACCAGTGGGTGTTTTAAAATCACCCACTGTGGTTCCTGAATAATGATTCTGACGTTGAAATCCAACGATAATCACTCTCTTCTACGGATTTAAATACAGCTCCAGTGTGACATTCAGAGTCCTGAGTCAGACTAAGTGTCTCAGTAAAGTGTCAACTGTTTATTGCCGCTGTCTGTCTGTGTTTATGTGAACACGTCTGTGTTTGTTTGGAAGCTTTCCTGTGTATGCCCTTCCGTGAGAGTGATGAGTTGCCTCAAAGCAGGTTTCACCCGATTTACTGTTCTTTATAGGTTAGGCCACACTGAGTCTAAAGGACACTATTAAAACAACCTTCATACCCTTAGATCTTGAATGATTTTTATACAGGGAAATGTAAGGCATGATCAATATTAGGATGGAGTGTGCGTGGGGAACACAGCAGGAAGACAGAGGATAATGGCGTGTTTAAGAATGAAGATCCATACTGTATAGCAGTTGTGGCTGGCCAATAGAGGGCTCTAGGGCGCCGCCCACCCACCCAATCATCTTGATTAAGACATAAAAAAAAAAAAAAAAAATTATAAAATTACGGTAAAATATTTCATAATATATCAATATATTTTTAGATGTGCAAGATTAATATTTAATCTTTAATGATCTTTGCCCATAGTCAGTAGCTCCTCTTCAATGCAAAAGATAGGACCATCCGGGGCGCATCTCTGCTTATTTTTTCCCATTTGGAAAAGATTGCAACTTAAGGATCTTTTGGACTTGTGAAGGACAGAAAGTATAAAATCTTTAAATTAATTTGTTTGTCATTATTCATTGTTTATATTACTTTGTCATCCTCTGACAGTTAATATTGTTAATATTAATATATTTTCAATTTTATATTTGGTGTTGGTCTTCATTCACCTCCCAGGCTCCATTACGAACCAATCTTCTGATGCTACTAACCGTTGATGACATTGTGAAGCTTAACTAATAGCGTTACATAACGCTCCATTC